GTATTAAAAATTATTATTATTTGCTAATTTCTGATGATCGCAGCAAACGGTGGGGTGAATTAAATAAAAAAAATATAAACAAACATTAATAATAATAAATCTTTTATTTGCAGTAGTACATTCAGATTGATTAATTATAAAAAAACCGCACAATTACAATTTTATAATTAATTTAATTGAAATTGTTTGTCGCCAAATTTTCGCATCCCAGTGAATGTTTGAAGGGAGAGCGTCTTTATGATAAAACCTATATTATATAACGCTTTAGCAACTTGCAACACTTATTTAAGTTTTCTTATCTATGGCTGAGTAAGTCGTTTTGACTGCGTTCGACTTATACGATATCTTTCAATTTTGATAGAATTTGTAGCAGAAGTCAGTTCTCACCGATGAGGAAGCGGGCCTTTGATGTAGGAAGCTAATTTTGTATCGTTTCCTCTCACTGTTGATGTGGGTCTGACGTCACAGCAACTATTACAATGCGTTCTATCAACAATACGCGCTATATCTAGATTGATTCGAGAGTACAATGATTACAATTGCAGAATAAATTTGCCAGGCAATTTTCGCGTTACTTAATAAAAAACGATATGACTTTTTAGGTCAGGGCATCAAACTTGTTTTTTCTAATAGACAAGTAGGTGAGCTTTTTGTGCCTGACACGCGCTGTGGACTCGTTTGGTCCAGTGGTGCACAGCCGGGCATCGAATCTACAACCTCAGGGATAAGTGTGGCGCGCTGACCACTAGGACAACACCCTCTTTAACTGAATTATTACAAAACAATTGTTGTTCAACGGTAAGCTTCGGGGAACGAAAGCTTACGAGATGTGCGAATTTTCTTAAATGGAGCGTAAATTTTGGCCCCTTCAAATTGGCTTTTATAAATTGTAAAAAGCTGTAATAAACAGAAATCATTAGTTAAAAGATGGTTTCTATGGAATTTTTAATTACTAATGTATGTAACGGTTAATTTTTTAATAGATTATACAAAAATACATACATTTTCGTAGAATATCGGTAAGTAGTTTATCGAAGTGGGTCACCCGTGAATCAAGTGATCAACGCTGTCGCTTCGAAAGCTGATATTAAAAATTAATCAAAACTCGCCTGAGATTTCAAACGTTATTTAACAAGAATGTTTGTTGGTAAGAATACCATAATAGGAAGAAAGTCTATTCGTTTTGGGAGAAATTACTTAAATCTTAAAATAAATCGACACAAGAATAGGAAAAGCATGGCTTTTGGGCACTTAAAGAAGTCATTAAAAATAATAAAACGAGCTTGGTAATTTCAAGTAAGCTCTTCAACGCTTGTATACTACCTGTACTAACATATGGATCTCAAACTTAGGCGCCTACTAAAGCGCAGCATACAAAGCTACAGGTGTGATCGATGGAACGATGTATGATGGGAAGAAAAAATTAGACAAACCGCTTTAGGAAAAACGACAAAGGTAACAGATGTTACATTAAAAATAAATAAACTAAAGTGGAAATGGGCGGGGAACGGCAAGAGAAACAGAAAAGCGGATCAAAAAGTACTAAACCGGTGCCCAAGGTACAGCAAACGAAAATGAGGAAGACAACTTGAAGGTCGATAGAGCAAATTAAAGATGCTGCTGGTACATAGAGCAGAGAGGAATGGCAGGATTTGGAGGAGGCCTTTGCTAAAAATGGCCACACAGATACCTAAAAGAAGATTGAAATAGGTTTAAATTTAAAAATATCTGAATTGAAAGGCTATTATCATTATAACTTAAATCTTAGTAAGGCTTCTATCAGCTCCATGAGTTTTATCTTACTCGGGGTGCACGTGAAAATAAGGTTCGTTCTAAAAAAAGATCGACTCTCAGCGAAGCGACTACAAAATATGTATAAAATGATATGGAATATCTATTTAAATTGTATAAACATTATTCTACGGTCAGAGGTTTTCATGGGCCATAGTCCACAACGCAAAACTCTGTATCGACATTTATAACAACTTACATCTAGACTTTCTGTAAATTTTAACTCGTTATTAAGACGTTTGGCGCTTTTAGAACTTGTCTGTAAACATTCGCGGCATTGGTAATAAACACCACCACAATTGAGAGGTTTAATTGCGCACGCGCAGTTTTCAATGACTATTAAAGGTATACAAATAACTGCATAAACTATGTATGTGCATAAATACGTAAATTTATTTTAACTCATTTTATAATTGATTTATATTTGTTTGTGTTTTAGACCCTTCGCGTTTTTTTATTATTCAAAATTTAAATTGTCTATCTAGCTTGTTGTATAAAGTCCGTAAAGTATACTAAGAATTATTAATCCCAAAATAGAAAACCAAAAAATGGGTACTAAACTGTACTTAGATACTAAATTTAGCTTTCCATAGTTATATCATATTTGTATTTATTTGTATTTTTTCTTTATATGCATGTAGGATGGGCCTTCGCTGCCTGACACACATCTTCCATGCCAGATTCGCAATATTTTCTTTCGCCATAGTAAATGTTATTTACGCTTATCAAATTTAATATCAATCGCTGCTGAGCCGAGGTTCGGACGCACGCACACAGCTAATATTAAAGTAACTATTAATAACAAAAAGGTGATATAAAAAAAAAACCCACTTATAATACTTGTCAACACTATTTACGTAAATCATACATTTCCCTTCCAGAAATACGTGGGTCCCTAAAGTACCAAACTGATTTCTATAAAACGTTCCCTAAGTTGTTAGTAATTGAAATCAATAATATCAGGATGACTTTGAATTCCCGAAAAATTTGTGCGAATATACAAACACAGCTTAAACATATCCAATAATACCACATACCGTTACTGATCTCCTAATTTATATGAAGTTAAAAATTATTCCTATAAATATAAAGGTTTTTAAGAATAAGTTATAATAAATATTAAATAATAATCTACAGCCTAATAGATATTGAACACTATAATTACAAAAGTGAGTTACATATATTTTATAACGATGTCGAACGCACAACGTTCTGTCTCGCTATTTATGAAGTTATTTTAACATTGTTGCCTTGAATAAAAATAAAACTGCATTCACAAGTCGGTAAAATTTTAACCTTTCCCGTCACATTGTTTTGTTATAATTAAAGCTCACAATGCAACACTGTAATACTGCAAAAGGCATATTGTACAAGTCAATTCAGCATTTGTGTTCTATAGTGCTCTATACTTGTGCTACATGCTGATCCCCTTGGCAATAATAAGTCCCTAACTAGTAGAAAACCATGGGAGCTCGTGTACTGTTTGTTGATTGCGCATTAAATACGTCAACAATTAAGCTAAGTTTTTTTTAATATTTAGTATACAAAGTACGGTACCTTTAAACGAATCTAGCACAATATCGTACATCATTCTTAATTTTTGTTAGTATGTAAAATGTTTAGCAAAAATATTCATTCTCATTTTATTACGACAGAAAGACAATTTGACAGGAGACAAACGAGCACTTTAGTTAAAAGCAAGAACTTTAAGCTTCATCGCAGCTCCATTTGATTGGTACGTCAACAAAGATCTTATTGAGTTCTGTGAAAACTATACAAACATTTTATGAAGTTACGGAGTCGGTGAAATATGTTTGAATGTTTAATAAAATTAAACACAATCTATATAGCTGAATATATTTTGTTGTAACAATTCTCAAGCTAACTTCCTAATGACATTCCTAAGATGTTTGAATATATTTTATATTGTCTACCGTCACCGACATACCGAGCTTACAACCTAAAGTCTTACCAAAATTAAATAGTACATGCATCAACGGGAGATGTAACCGAAAACATTCTAGTGATACATAGCGCTTTATATTATCAGGAAAATAAATACAATGTTAATTGTATTTATTTGGCTTTAGTTTTAATATCTCTCAATAGTGTCTTCATTGTACCTACAATTTTATTTTTGTTACGTTCCGTAAACAAAAATTTTTAAAATAACTTATAAATTTATACGTCTTTTTTGAATTATATAGAATTGAGTTTGTTTTTAAAAGATAGGAGGGCAAACGACATTAAGGACGCCCAAACAGGGCAGTCAGTGACACCACTCGCCATTTTTCCACCATAATACTATAATCCTCCTTTTTAAATAATAATGCAATTGGAAAACATCTACAAGTAAATGCAAATCGAAGCTAAGAGTCACATGGCTTGTAATCGCTAATGACCTTTCCTTGGAAATCGGAGTCGATAACAAGGTAATAGTCCAATTAGATCAATCGATTGTTAAAATTGGAAATTTCTTCTCGAAAACGTTTAGAATTAATGTCTTAATGTCTCTCTGACATTAAGTTTGTCGTTTCAGTTAAAAAGCTTAAATTGTGCAACAAAACATTACATTCGAAATAACTAAATTGAAGTATTGATTAAAACAATCAAATATACAATAGAGGCTGTTACTGTGAAGTAAATAAAACTTATCCAGCCTAAAGCGTTGCAACCCGGTATCTTTATCTTCTCTTTATGATTTGGATTGTTTCATCAATCGTGACAACCTTTTGGTAGATGAAGCTTCATGTCTTAAAGACTAGAAAATAAAAAAAATACGTGTGGCACTCGGGGACTGCCGCGGTAAAGCTATTGCATAGCATTTTTTATAAACTTATGCAATATAATTATTTATTTATTTTTTGCAGTATTTATTTTTTCTTTGATATTATATTCAATCTACCACTCTACCAGACTCAGACTAACACGCCTATCCGATCACGCTAAACCGATGTGAGACGCAGTATGCGTTCTGTCCCGTTCTAACGCGTATTGGCCGCACCTATATTACGTCATCGTGTGTTAGGTTTATTTCGTTACGGAATTTCTTGATTCGGTCGCCGCGCTCAAAGCCCACGATAAAATCTATGCAATAGCTTAAAAGATCTTACTGCTCTATTTTAACTGTAGTAATCTTTCATCTCCTGTCATGTTATGATGAAAAGAGACAGATGACGTCGAAAAAGGAATAAATAAATGTTACTTACGTTGATCACGACTCTCTCGCATAAGTCGTGATCATGATCAATCGGCTCAAAGGTGACGACACCGCCTTGAGGCGGCTTCCCTTGTTCTTCTTCTTGGTTGTATAGTTTTGGCAGCGACCTGTTAACAAAGACACATATGAAGCACATATATATAGATGATTAACTTACGCTATGATAATATATAGTGAGTAGAAGTTATTTTAGTATATTTGAAATGTATCATTTGGTTTAAAATGATAACATTATCTATCTAATATATCTGTAAAATCTGTTAAAATGAGTGAATGTATTTTTACTAATTCTTAGATTTAATCCCTTGAATAACATTTGAATACGACTTTATTCTAACTAAGTACAATGGCTCTTATGGATACCACATTCAACATAGATGATAATAGGTTGAAAAACAAAGTTCAGTAAATCAGCATAATTCAGTAAAGGATACATAGGAAAATGGCTAAGGATCTCACCTAAGTTTATAATAATATGAATTTCTCTTTTACATTGAGTACAGTTTATTTAAAACTATAATTATAACATTTTGTTGAAAAGTTATGCGCAAATATTACACATAAAATTACAGTTTAACGGACTTTAAACACACTTGTAAAATAGTTACGACTATAAGCTATTCGTTTACGAAATCTCAAGCCATCTCAGAAATTTTCCAACTATCCAGTTTAATTCTGCAAGATAAAGCAATTTCCTCCGTTATGTACAATGTAAATTCTCTTTGTGCAGGTTTTTTAATGAAAAAATCCTTGTTTGCAACAAATATTAATTTTACTCGCGTCTAACTTACCTTGGCAAAATATATTTGAAATAACAGAATTTCACTCGGTCATTAAATCAATACAATAATTGATCTGGAAAATGCCGGATTTATAGGTCTAGAGGCCTTGAAGCAACAAAGGAGTGGATGCCTGGCTTCAAAATATATTCCAAATGAAATGAGCATGATTTTTTAGTCGATTTTTACAATGTGTTTTATTGTGAAACCAAGAATAGATTATTTTATTATTAAAGTCTCTATCGTGGCAGCCCTCGTTGTTATTTAACTCGCGTTATTAATCCATGTTAAATTAAATAATCTGCCATAATTTATAATAACAACAATTGACAAGCTTAAGTGTTCAACACTCAAAAACTTCAAAGCTTTTTATAAATTTTCCCCACAAACGTTTGTCGCACACTGTGTACAGTCTTTCTAAAGTTTTGTTTGCCGTTTAACAAAGTCTTCTTACATTGTTTTTCAAACTGGGCAATTCCAGCTTTGTATCATTTTCTTTTTAGGCATTTCCTCATGAAAAATAACTTTTTATTTTAACTATCAATGGATTTTTCCATTGAATATGTGGACTCACGATTAACAAAATATAGCTCTTTTTTACGTTAAATTAAGTATTTAATAAAAACTAGGTTCTAACTAACACTAGAGCCACGCAGTCAGTTTAAACAATATTAATTAGCAATTTAAGGCTTTGGTCTCAAATTAAATATCTATTATAAATCGCAGCGCGTCACAACACTACCTTTCAATACCTTTCAGTTGACAGCTGTCAATGTGTGATATTTATTTCCTACAGTTAACATAAATTAATTATAACAAAAAATTTGGTGATAACGTTATAAGAAAACATTGATGAAAAATAATTTCATTTATGATTTTTAATAATAATCAACGAACAAATATATGAGATTATATCGCTAATTCAATTTTTTCAAATTATTTACCTTTTTTGCTGCAATAGATGTTGTAATAAACAATGGAATGCCGCTCTATCTATTTCTATCGCTTGTTCCGCGCTCTCGCTTGCACGCTCGCCCCAGGCGGAACGTGACAATGAGTCAGGTTTTTTCGGGCGTTCATCGATTTATAAGACGTTATCACGACAAAAAAAATATGCTAAAGATATAGCCAAAAATGGAATATAATATAAACAAAAAGGTTCAAACGCTTACAAAACTTAGACAAAAAAATCAATAAAAATTATTAAATATATCAAAGTAATACCATATTCGACTGTGTTGTGTGATGGTGTGAAAGTGAGGGTATGGTTGTGGGGTATATTTATAATGTACATAGGTTATAAAGCGCTATATATTTATTTTTTCGCTTCATCTGTCAGATTGGGTTCAGCATCAGAACACGGTAACTAGCGATAGCAATTGTGATCCCGATTCAATATTTATTTGTTTATACCGCGCGATCCCAAAGTAAGCGACAGAACTTCAAAATTGCATATAAAATCGTTTACCAACGCAGAACGCAACAGCCGTGAACGCACCAACACAATACTTAGCTAAACGATAAGTGAAAAATGTTGGTATGAAAATTCTTCATACTAACAAAATTTAATCAAAATGTGAAATAGATAATAGGTTTAACAGGTTCGTTGAGTTGTTGGAATTGGCTGTGATTGTCAGTTAAGGTAACATGCATCGACATGTTTTCGAGGTAATTTATCCTCTGTCTGAACATTAAACATTCTGATACAGACGGGCAGATTTGTAAACATGTTACGGTTGCGCTGATTTCTCCATTCAATGGCAATTTACTTATGATTTCCAAAATTGAATGAATATTACGAAACGATATGGTGTGTGGAGTTTAATTTTTGTTTAAAATGTTGCATAATATTTTCAAATAATTTAATTTAAGACAAGAATTGTTAATTTATATTATGGTTTAGTTAAGAATTTGAAGAATATGCTTAAATTTATTAAACTGACAGATAGGCTGAGTACCTTTAATGCTAAATAGCAAATGAAACATATAAAACTAATAAACTAATAAAACATCAAATTAAAAATTATATATAATTGTAAGTTACTAGAGGTTGACTGAGAACTCAGATAAAAACATTTTCTACTGTTCTAATACACAGAATATCAGCGATAAAGTAATATAACCCAAAACACAAAGGTCTTTAAAACTCATAATTATCTATACAAAAAACTTACATTTTGATATAAAAAGTATATATTTTACTCCTCACAATTTGAGGGTATTTACATAAAATGTGTGAGGGTATTCGATGAAAACGCAGTATTTTAGTTCTAAAACCTAACCTAATTATTGAAGTGAAAACTTCTTTAGCGGAATTGTACACTTATTGGAATTGGTAATAAATGTTAAACTCGCGTCAGGACACGTGACCTGATCGAAAATTCGTAAGACGGATGGAGAGTAGATAGCTGGCGCGGCGTATTTAATGTAATAAAAATTGTCATGTTTGTGTACGATAGCGCAATAAATAAATATTGTATTCTACTACATAAATGATAGTACTTTTATACTGATAATAAAAGCAATTCGTGCAAAATTATTCCCTAACCATTCCAAAATATAAAAAATGCACAACGTTAATTTTCAAGTTTTCACTTCTGCCGGCACTCCCGGAGTGCAACCTGTCGTTTTTTTTAAATGTAATTTAATGAAATTAGTTAATTTAAGTAGTTAATGTTGTTTTTAAATAATAATAATAATGAACGGCACGTCGGTGGACGTAAGAAATTGTAACGAATTTGTATTCCACTGTCACATAAATTTCTGTATTTAAAACAATTAAATAAAAAACACCAATATCATACTAGTGATTTTAATCTATTGAGATTATTAAAGAATTTTAGGTATTCATACGAAAAAAATGATTTTAAAATCGGACTAAAATAAATTCCAAAATGTAAGAAGTATTAAAAAATGTAAGCCGAAAAATTTGTTTGTAACGAAATACTTAAGACCTATATCGAAATATCTTACATTATCATTTTCCTGAGAATTTATTTCCGAAAAGAATTTCAAAACTAAATGCGAAGAAACATTTGAACTAAAACTGTTGACTGCCAAAGTTAAATGTTACGACTGACGTTCAACTTGACCAAGAAAGTAGAACGAATACGTATAATTACACATCGACGATTGATCTTGACAATTTAATGGGTCGGGCTATTACTGAATACAATATGTGGGACTCAAAGGGGTGTTTGTATGCACTTTATTATTTTCAACCTTGACGTATTTCTTTATACAGTGTGACTTTTTAAGGAACGTTGAAATTATTATTTTCAGGATATGTTTTACATATTAAAAAGGTACGCATTTATTTACAATATTAGTGTAAAAAATTGTTTTTTCAGCACTTGCAAATTAGCACTCTTGTATTTAAGCAACGCATGTCAGGTCAAGATGCTTAAAATTTGTCACTGACTTGAAGATATTAGACAAGGGTGTTTAGAGACGAGATGGCCTTTAAAGCTTACTGCATTTTTAATAAAGTGCATGCTACGAATTTAACCAAGCATAGGGCAGTAAGGCATTAAACCTTCAAAGCTTAGTTTACCGTGATAGGCAAGGCTTTTACCTTTTCATCTAACCTTTTAGTTAATATAGTAATTTATAATTATAATAGATATAGCATGACAAAAAATATCTATCGTAATCCTTCTTTACTTTTTATTCATACAGCATCAATGATTTGAGGTTGTCTTCTTTATCCAGAGTAGGACATTATCATAAAATTATATAGCTATTTTTGTCTTAATCATTCGTTGTATATTTGAAGGTTGTGTAAATAAATATTCGCGATTTAAAACACTATATCTGTGTGAAAAACAGTCGCATGACATTGAACTTAAGAAATAGGTAAGGTATTACCATTTATTTAAACAACCACTTATAAAACGTCTAATATTTTATTCTTTATTGAAGTTCCATGTATGCATTACTATAATTGTGATTACTAGAACAGCATTTCATTGTCAACGCATATTTAATTAAATGGAATAACATATTTGTAACATATGGACATATTCTTTATCGTAAATAATAAATGTCTCTAAAACACATTAGTATTCGCAATTTCAAACAATAAATGTGTGAATAAAAGTTCAAGAAACAGGTGCAATAGTATGACATTGAACTTAATATACAGGTATTATTTGCTTTGATTTATACAGACATTTATAGAACGTTATTTATCTTATTCTTTATTAAAGTGCCATGCATGCATTACTGTAATTGTTATTACTAGAATAGAAATTCATTGTGTTAGCTTTTAATTTTTATTTAATTTAATTCTAAACATTTTTTCTGAAGAATCTTGCTACAAGTGCGCA